AGTGCATCACTTATTCTCAGGCCACGGCCAGTGGATCAAATTCAGGGAAAAGAACAGTTATTGTCTGAGTGAATTGGTGCTGGAATTGATATTTGTGTCCAAAATACATATGAGGTCATGTTTGAATTCAGATGTCTCCACGTGGATCTGGTCTGTTTGTTCCTAAAGCTGTATATTTTATTCAGATGCAATTTAACCAACAAAAGCTGTGCTAACAGAGATGAGACTCTCTTGTTACTCTTCCAAAAAAGCCATACTATTTTACCAATTGTTCTGTCATGAGCTGAAATATTTAGCATGCTGAGATCGGGAGGGTCAGCTCTTGTGTTTTTGGGCAGTATCTCTGGGCATTGCAGTCTGACATTAAGGGGAATTCTGAATACTGAAAACACCGTTTTACTGTAAATTTGACTGCAGGTTGTTTATTAATAATTTATTAACAAAAATTCTAACATACTTTTTCCTCTTATAACTGCAGTTACTAATAATTAAAACTTGGTTAAATGTATATACCTGCTATAAATTAAAATATGCAGAAGCCATGTTTAATTGAGGACATGTTGTCAATTGATGAAGTACTTTATTGGAGTCCAACTGACCATAGTTTTCTCTCTGTCTATAAACACATTCTGTGCAACATCAAATGGCAAAACATCATACACACACACACACACCTAGCTTCCAGATTAACCAGCTGCTCTGTCCTGATTGTGTCCAGTCAATGGGGACTGAAAGCTACATGGTTCCTCTAAAGTGAGTCCAAGGCAATGTTCTCCCAAGTGTACGTGCACTACACTGTGCGTTTACTTATTCTCTTCATTATTTTCTAAAGGCGAGCAGATGCGATAGGCCAGCACAAAAAGAAATTCTGCAAATTCAGCAGAGAGACTGGATTTTGGGGGATTGTTAATTTTTGAAAGACATATCAAATTTGTCTGTCCTTTTGAGTTTGATTTGTGGAGTATAAACCAATTACCATCTCCAGTCCTAAAAATATTGAGAAAAAGTCGAGAATAGAGTTTAACTTTTGTTGTATTCGACTGGTGAACAGAAATATTCTTTAATTGTAAAATTTAGTGCAGTGAACTGGTTCTTGGACATGTATAAACACTTTTACAGGTGCTAATTACGTCACATTTAAGAGCATGTGGTAGTCTTTTGTGTGCTTGGTAAATGTGTAAAAGCATCAGGAAGACTTTGTTAGCAATCAGGCTCAATGAAACCTAACTTGTTACTATAGTAACTCAAAAGGAGAGTAGGTTGTTGAATGTCTTAACCCTTTCAGTGTTTACACTAGAAAAAAAGAGAGCAGAAAACAGCTCTACATTTTTCTATTCAGTTTTGGCAATAATGTGCACAATTATAGATTTTTTTCTGCAAACTTATATTTGTTTTATCCAGTTGAAGTTAAATACGTAATATTAGCGTTAGGGTAGGCTTCGACAAGTTGATGATCTCTTTAGAAGGTTGATCGCACCGCAGAGCTCCATTTGAAGTTGGCCAGGATAAGAGAACAGTAGCACTGATGATTCCAACCAGTATTTAAGACGTCTGCAGGGAGCTCACTGACCTCAGAAGACCATACCAAACCCTGCAGAATGGGTGTTGGGTTAAGTGCTATTTAGATTTCAGTCTATATATTCTTAACTCTGTGGTGATGGTGATTTGGTGCACAGAGTGGTGCAGAGGGCGGTAGAGAGCCCAAACGTTCATTTGTTTGTAGAAAGGGGATAGAGCAAGAAGTGGAGGTGATTAATACTGGGTGAGCACCTGAGTGACTCTTTTGTTTGACTGAACAGAGACGCTACTGGTGAGTATTTCACTTCGTTGCCCCACTTATGTTTATTAAAGTATTCATTCTTCTAAGGCAAGTTAAACATATATAAGTTATAAGTTAACATGTTTGCATGGTTTATTGTGGTACTAATTTCTGTTTGTTTTCTTTCTGAGGTTTTCAACCTGCCTGCTTAATTTTCACCAAAGTGAGACAAAAAATCAATAAAAGAAAGTTTAAGTTGAGCTGAGTGGATCCATGCGTCCTCTGTAAAAAGCCTGGTCGAGTCAGGCAAACAAAAAACCAGGGATAACTCGACAATGGGTGAAACTAAAATTAGATGAAAACGGAGTACATTAACCTCCCTCTTCTTGGTGCCTTTTGGCCCACTTCTCCCCTCCAAAA